CACGCTCTAGTAAAATTTCTTATTAGAATATTTTTGAGCACATGTTTATTCAAGTAAATCCTACACTGGAAGCCTGACACTTGCAAAAAAACAAACATTACTGCTAATTGATGATCTCTAGGAAGTCCTTATTTTGCAGTGGCCTGTATACCCATATTATAGACTCAATTACACAGATCTAAATTTCATGTTTATTTATTTACATTTTAAAAGATAAGAACATTTGCACTTGTATGTGTTATTAGCCCACCAGCTTATCTATGCAAAGATGAGACTTTTACTGAAATATTCTGATTCACCTTGAGGTCTTGCTTGCTGACTAATTGCAAGATCATAACAATTTATTCACCAAGGTGTGCATGTCTAACCTTTATATTATTCTTTTTTAACTAAAAAAAGTGCATCATATAAAGAAAATTCATCAGATGCATGTTTGTTTTTCCATGTGCAATTCATTTAAAAGTTCAGAAAAACAAAAGTCTTTAATTCATGTCATATTCAAAATTTAAGGATAATTTTAAATGATATTCTCTTTGCTCTATGCCAGATTTTGCAGAATCTAGACTAGAAAGCTCTTTGGCTGCTGTAAGTTTCTGGTTTTAGGGCCTAATGCAACCCAGTTCTTTGTTTCACTGCTGAAATTCATCTTCATGTACCATGAAGTGGGAAAGAAGCAGTTTCTGTTTAAAAGAGCACCACAATGCAATAATGATGTAAGTATATAAAAAATAGAGGTGGTTTTATGTCGACTAAGACACTGCTAAGGATTTTTTAAGCCTTGGCAAATGGATTTCAGCTTTTTTTTTTTTTGTGGAAAGAAACCTGCCCCTATGGTAATAGGAAGAAATACGATTACTAGGTCAAACAAAATGATGTTTTTGAATATGATTATTAGGAGCTTTGTTTATCATTGAAAACAGGAGAATACTGCAAGAATTTCAAAGCAATAAATGCACACAGTTTGATTGAAATGTTGTTTATTCAACCCATAAATCAGCTACCTGTTTATGCCAGTTTCCTTGTTCTTCTGGTGTATCTTAGCAGAATAATGCTTTAGCTGAGCCCCTTGCAATAATCCTAAATAACATGAAGCCATAATTACAGCATGACACAGCATAGTAAATTCAGTGGACATCTTGTCCTTTCCGTCTGAAAGCTGCTCTGACAGATCATCCCCTGTGCCCAGTCTGTGGCTGACTGGCTTTGAGAAAAAGAAGTATATATGGAGATTATAAAAGCAAGAAACAGACACAGACCATAGAAGCTAAGCCAGAAGTTGACCTGACGTGTGTGTTTGCATGGCTACATGAATAAAGATCTGTGTAGAATCATATGTACAACCACACTAATGTTCTCAAAGCAACGTTTAATTAAAATACTTGGTGTATAAGTTCAGACATTTTTATAGAAAACAAAATAGGAGGCACAGCTTTCTACAGCCTACTAAGAGCTGCAACATGAAACTTTACTTGAATATGTTTGTGAATGGCGGATCTGTGACAGCGGCTGCTGCTCATGATACATCATCCTGGCTCCCTTTAAAATGTGTTATTTCAGGTGCAAAAAAAAAAAAAAAATTCACCAGAGAAGTTCTGCGTTGTTCCTGCCAAAGCTGACGCATTCCTGCTTCTCTCCTGTAGACTCATACTCCTTGGCATACAGAACACATTTTGGCAGACGGATGAAACCAGCATTTTGAAATAATTCCTTTTGAATTAAGAGATTTATATTCATCTTGGATTTTGCAGGAGGTAAAATAGCTGATTTACATACAAAACCTTGGTCAGGGCACAGATGAAGCATACAAATTGGACCTGCACCTGTCTGCTCTGTATTTAGAGATCAAAACACAAATAAACGTGTGTTGTGGGAGATCATCTCAGTGGGGAACTGTTGATGATTACGTAATATCCATTTTAAAGTTTAGAAATGGTATATTGTGCCTAGCAGACTTCTAAAGAGGTTGCAGAGTTGGACTCTTGCCAGTTTTCTAATGGAGCAGGAAGCAATGCAGTGCTCCACCTTCCCTTATGTTGCTGTCCACTGCTGGTCAGCTGGCTGAAAGAAAGATTCTATTCTTACCAAGCCACCAGTTAACAGTAGAAATACTGTTGTAGTGAGCTATCTAACATTTTGTATTATAGAAAAAAAATGGTGAAGAGGGAAAAACTGAAACATATAACGTTTTATTGTAGTTTTTTTGTTTTTGTTTGCTAACATATATATCAGCCATGCATTGAATCCTTTCTCATTTATTTTGTCTCTTAATCTTACCAGTTCTGTTTTTGTGCACAGTGAAAGTGTACTTTCCCAACCTGAAAAAGAATCATGGTATTTTCTGAAAACATGTTTGCATATAGGATTGTTTTAAAACTGACAGAGAAAAAAATTGACACAGCGTTTACAGCCATTCTGCTTTCCCAGAATTACTTTTTAATGTATATCTTGGTGATTTTAATCTATGTTATTAGATTAATATTAAATAAAATATATATTAATTACTTTCTCCTGCAGTGCTTCTTTATTCCCCTTTTCTCTGATGTTTCTGTCCTTCCAGAAAAGAATATTTCTGCTGTTTGAAGACATTTCCAGATATAAAAACTCTTAATAGTAAAGAAATGTGGAAACTAAAGTAGCCTTTTGTGTAGATAGTGCCTTGCAAAAGTGATTACATTCCTTTTACAATTTGTCACATTACTGCAGAAAACTGCAAATGATTTTCTTTTGATATCATGTAGAAGACAAGGCATCTGTAGAGTGGAAGGAAAACGAGATAAGGTTTCATTTTGATTTCATATATTAAAATTTTAAAAGTGTATCATGAATAGAATTTAAGCCCTTTTATTTCTAATTCCCCAAATTAACCCGACTTCTACCTACAAGTTTGTTTTATACAGTTTTTTTTCTTCTTTCGGCACCTTCTTTTTTTTTTACATTTCTGCAGTTCTGCAGAAATGTAAAACTCAGGTAAAAGAATCTGTTGATGGCTAAATTGACTCCATGACTCCACAAGCCTGTTCTTTATGAAAGAGTTCAAAAAAAGAAAGCTGTTGTTCAATCATAGCGTGCCATGTTGAACATAGATTCGATTCAATTTTCTGAACATTTCAAATGCTGATTTTGGTGGAAAATGAACGCTACGCATCATACTGAAAGCACCAACCCCACAGTAAAATGGAATATGGATGGGGGGAGTTTAACACAGCTGCTAAATACTTTAAACTGGGGTGGAAGTTCTCCTTCTAAATTGATATATTAAAGTAGCCCTTTAAAGTCCTAAATTCAATCATGAGAAGGGTAAGCCAGGTTTAGTACGTAAAAATCCTGAACATAGATTAGTTTCAACCATTTGCATTTCCTGCTCCACAGCATAGACTGTGTTTAAAATGATGGTCTCCCGTCCTTGAGGGCTATTGTCCTGCAGTTTTAAACTCACTGTGGTTCAGTCCAATAGGAGCTCAGTTACAGAGCTCTGCATAGCTGGACTGCATCCCACTGAGGTAGTTAAGCCATCTTATTCAGGAGTTTAGAGTAAAGGAAACATAGAAATGCTGCAGGACACCAACTCTTGAGGATTTCAGTTTGAGACTACTTGTATCACCTGTTTAAGTAAACAGGATGAAGAAAAAATTGGCAGAGTTTTACTTTCTGAAGCTAGATTTAGGCCTACCTACCTCTGGTAAATCGAATTCCTAACCCATGGCTAGACTTAAAAGATTGTTCTTCTCTAAAGCTCTCCATCCATCCATCCATCCATCCATCCATCCATCCATCCATCCATCATCCATCCATCCATCCATCCATTTTCTGTCACATTATAGCCAATCTATTGCAGCACAATACAGAAACAAACTGGACAAACAACCATTCTCACACATAAGGAAAATTTAGGAAAGTCAGCTAACATAACCAGTTTTTGGACCACGGGAGGAAGCCGGAGTACCCAGAGAGAACCCATGCATGCACAGGGAGAGCCAGGAATCGCACCAGGAACCTCCATGCTGCAAGGCAGCAGTGCTACCCGCTGTACCAAATTAAAATAACTTAAGATATTTCCCAAAGAAAAGTGAGTTAATATTTCCAATCTTTAATGTACACAGAAAGCAAAGACCAAGCTCTTGCAGCTGGAATCACAGACCATTTCTAGGAACCTAATTAAAACCACCTACAATATGCCATACCTTACAAAATGTTTCAAGGCACTCTGTAAGGAATTCTGGAAGGTTTGCTGTTTTTATATAGCTTCAATCTTGGAGTACATAAAAAATAAAGGAGCAGATTACTCTGCATCATTAGTACATGAAAACTAAAAGCAGTTTCTGATGAAGTGGAGTTTGAGGATCTCCAGGTAGCCTCGTGTGTTATAAGGAGACACAGTAAAAATGAGAAGAAGTTTACTTATTTCAGTACTCCAATAATTGCGCAGTGGGGGCAAGTAGTAGCCTAGGTATTTCATTCTCATTAGAGCTTTTAGAGCTGTGGGGAAAAAGCCATGCAGCTCATATGGCTTAAGTCTAGAATAAAAGTAAGAGTGTGGTCTTCTGTTAATCTATCAAGGGGTTATGGATATTAAAAGTTTGGAGAGCTCTTCTTTTCACGTTGGATGAAAAAAACTACAATAAAGCAATCTCCAGCAGATTTAGCAAACAGATGATGTAGAATATGCTGGTAGAAATAGCCGTGCATAACTCATAAACTGCAGTGCGGCATCGGCTGTATTAATATCACACAGCGCATCATAGCGAATCCTTACGCAGATGAATATTTAATTCCCACAGAGCCTATAATGTGCAAATTAAAGATGCACATAAATGCTCGACGTCTATAAAAAGACGTCTGCAGGGCAGCCTCGTGAATGTGTGATATTTAAAGATGTGGTTACGACCCCAGCGCGAGGAGTAGACGCATCACAACAGAAGAAAAAATAAATAAATAAACAATCAAACAAATAAATAAATACCATGGAGAGACTTGAGTCTGGAGCAAAACTTGAGACTTACCCCGTTTGAACATCTTGCTGGTTTAGTTCTGCGTTATTTGGTCCTGTGTCTGATCCGTCTCATGGATTCTTATATTCCAGGCTTTGAAACTTGCGCCTTTCACTTTTGGAGCCGTTTGGATCGAGCAGGAATCAGGTGTCGCTCCTCTGGATATCCGTGCGCTCCCCTGGAATCAGCTGAAGTCGCAGACTGTCATTGTTTCATCCAACAATTAGCTCCCTTCTTTTAAAAAGTCTGACACATCTCCCTCGAAGCTTGGAAATGTAGATAGTCGCTGTGAACTGCTGCAATCAATCGCTCGTCCAAGTCCAAACCTGAAGTCCAGCGTGTGAGGACGCACAGCAGAACCCCCTCCGCCCAGATTATACTCCTTCCAGACCTAAATGACCGCACAGGCTGCAGATCGGCTTTGGTAACCAGAAACCCCAAAATACCCCCCAAAAACAAATCAGATGCTGAAATTTAGATGCGCAGATCCATAAATTCATCCAAATCGTATCACAGCCCAGGAACCTACAATCATCATAAACTACTTAGGTTCACGTTCCGCGTCTAATGCCACACAACGAGACCACACTCCTCAAAACATTCCCAGCACTCGCCTCTTCTTACATTTCTGACATCTTATCTGGAAAGATGGCTCGTAGGTTTCCAACTATGGAGCAGATCGCTGTGCGCTCAGGAGGGAAGGAAAGGAGTGATCCAGTGTCAGCCCCTCCACGATGCAGAGTGCTGCTCCATCCCATCCCTTTCACTTCCAATGTCTCTGACTGGACTAGGACGGAAGAGGATTATGGCATCTGGATTTTTTTTTTTTTAAACTAACTGATGTTTAAAATTTATTTCAGTTTAATATGGGGAAAAAGTCAGAATTCTGGCTTTTTTTTTCCTCAGAATTCTGACTTTAATCCTAGAATTCTGACGTTAATCTCAGAATTCAGACTTTTTTTTCTCAGAATTCTGACTTTATTCACAGAATTCCGACTTTTTTCTCAGAATTCTGACTAATCTCAGAAATCTGACTTTTTGCCATATTATTTTTTTTATAAGGGCGGCCTGGCAATAACCAATATACACTGAGGGGTTGCCAAAGTGGATAGGCACCATAACCTCACGGTCAATCTACAATGTTCCAACAGGAAAATTAACAAGCAAAATATCAATATTTTCTAAATAAAGACTAACTATACTTTCCCACCGCCTTTGCTAACAAATATATATTTAATATATATATATATATATATATATATATATATAAACGTCCGCAATTTCTAGATAAAAGGTATAGTGGATAAAACTCAGTTTTGAATTCTGGGACATAAATCAATCATCATTGCCATTACTTACCTACTTGTATCAATAAACATTCTGCAAAAAATTTATATTTACAAGCACTAATATCCACATAAATTGATGGATTTTTTTAAATTTAAATTGTTATTTATTTTTAATTTCACTGAAGACTCCTAGATGACTTGCAGGGACACATACTTTTCTCTTTAGCCCATATAACACAAATCGAGCTCTGAAAAGAGCATGAATTCTGTACTTATCATCTTTGATGTTCGTATATTGATGTGTATAATTAAAAACAAAAAAATAAAATGTTTTGAATATTCCACTTTAGAAGGGGTGGCCAAGGGGTGGCCAATGATTGGCTAAGGGTGGCCATGGCCACCCCTGGCCCCCCATCTAGCTCCACCCCTGAAAGTAACTAAATATTTGTTAGTAGATTTTTCAGTGGGGTATTTTAATAAATTTTTATTTATTTTTTTTTTTTTTACAATATTAATGTACTAGTGTATTTTTCTTTCTATATAGTAATTAACGTAATATGTAGAAGTGTAGAACTGTAGAAGTTAATGTAAGAACTTGTTATACTTTAAATAACTGGATTTTATTTTTTGGTTAAAAAAAAAGAAAAAAAAAGGCTATGTATATATAATTTGGCTTTTGGATTTAAGTAGGTTTCTATTCCTTTTTTTTTTCTATATTCAAATTTTTATGTCACCATATTAAGACGCATCTTCTAATATTTTAGTTTAGTAATAAACAACATGTCTAGTTGCTGGTGCTATACTGTCCCGTGCCGTCGCATCGATGACTTCCGGGATCAGCTTATCGTGACTTTCCTCTTTCAGCGATTGGACGCGCCTTTCTGTCGCTCATGCTTTCCTGTTTGGAAGTGAACAAACATGGCGGCAAAAATCTACAATCCTCCACCATTGAGATGTTTCAAATGCCAAAAATTCGGTCACGTTGCAGCAGTTTGTAAAGGGAAACAGAGGTGTGGAAGGTGTGCAGGAGAACATGAGTACGGAAAATGTGGAAAAGAAGCTAAAATAAAATGCTGTAATTGTGGTGGAGAACATACTGCTGCCTATCGCGGCTGTGAAGCAAGCAAAAGGTCTGAGGAAATTAAAAAAATGAAATTTGAGCTCGGAATAACCTACGCTGAAGCTGCAAAAAGGATCCCATCTCAGTCAGAAAAACCCAAACCTACAGTTCAACACACAGCAAATTCCAAACCTCTAGAGAAATCTCCAAAAATTAATGAAGACTCACTTATTGTTAAAAAGACAAATTTTGTTCTTTTCATGGTAGAAGTAATTAATTGTACTGCACAGACAACAAAAAAAACGGAAAAAATCAAAATAATAGTGAAGGCTGCAGAAAAATATCTGGACATTAAAGATTTGAACTGGGAGATGGTTGGAAGTATGATGGGAGGACCGATGGGACCATCAGAAACTGGCAGAGTTAAGATGACCTAGAGTAAATTAAAATTATATGGGCAAATGTGATTTAGTATTATGTTGGTTTAAGTTACACCGGTTTTTTTTTTTTTTTTTTTTTTTTTTTTTTTTTTTTTTGGGGGGGGGGTGAATCGTTTCCTGTTATCTTGCTTTACTCCATATCAGTTGGTGGCGGTAATGCACAATTCACAAGTCTGCCAACCGCCATAAAATCCCATAAGAAGAAGAAGAAGAAGAACATGGCGGCACCCGTAAGTGAAGTGCAGATGGTCCCTGTGAAAAAGCCCACAGGTTGGTACTGTCGCTGCTTTCAGTGTTCAGCGGGTGTTTCTCTAACAGTGGGTGTTAGATGCAGTTTTAATGACTTGCTGTCGGCTAACCGCTGTCTGGCAGTGATGGGAGGTGAAGTTTAAGAAACAACATAACGCTTTAAATGTTACCAGTTACTCCTTAATACCTTATTGGATGTCATGGCTGGTGTATTTCGGGTAGTTCAAAACGTTTTCTTATGTGCTGCTTTTTTTCTGTATTTAGTGTTGACCTGCTTTTTGCTACAATGTTTCTCTCTTTCAGGAATAATTTTCTTTTCAAACTTACTTAAACTTTCTTCTTTCTCTTCAAGCATGGCACAAACGTTTAACAGTTGAGTCATTTCCGACATGGCAGGTGGTTTTACTCATTGCTGATTAAAGGTCTGACTAGATAGAATATAATGTATTTAGTGTCATCGGTTCAAAGACTGTTGGCAAAGGTATCCTGTGTATTCTAGATTGGGCAAATCTGGCTCTCATATGTCTTTGTTATTATTTATTTATTTGTCTTTTTTTTATAATCTCCACATTATCAGTGGCTGACCAGAGATTTAAGTACAGCTTGTGTATATTTGATGGTTGCTGTTTGACTGTCCCAACATGTGTTTTTTTTTTCAATTGTAACATTATTTATTTTTTTATATTGTATTTTTTGATATTTTTTTCCGTTTTTGGATAATAAATGGCATGTAATTTGTTTTCCTTACATTTTCCTTTTTTCATATAGTCTTACATTTTTACAACTTTAGTACAGGGTCCCTGCAGATCCTTAAAAAGTCTTAAAAGGCATGTAATTCTTCAATATTGAAATAGGGCCTTAATTGGTATTAAAATGTCTTAAATGAGTCTTTCATAGGTCTTAAAATTGTCACCAGGTCATAGGTGATTTTATTACAATATTAGAATAGGATTTTATTTTTGTAATTCATATCAAAAATTAAAATCATGATAATTTTTTTTACATTTACCGAACGGCTTTGCTGTAACCATTATTAGTTCCATCCTGACAACAGAACCAATAAAAACGAGGTTGCAAACAGACATTGGGGTGATGTGCCAATAACGTGGGGAAGTGTAAATTCAATGAAAATCGGCTACCCAGCCAAGAGTTTCCTGCATGGCTAAAAAACAGTACCGGGTGATGTGTATGAGGAATTGAGTATTTTGAGCGAGAAGTCATTCAAGCTCGGCACGATGGGAATCAAAGCTGTGGAGTCAGACATGGGAAGAGTGGAAAACAAAGTTATGGAGAAGCAGCTATTTCTCAGTTCTGTTCCACCCTTGTCTCTGCAAGGCCTCTACAGCCATATCCGACATCAAAAAGAGCACTAGTAGCACCAAATCTCCGGATAATGTTTGACGGTTCGCCTACAATGAAAGCAGAGCTATTATGGAATTTGAGTAGGGATCAAAACAAAGTTTGTGAATTTCATTCATTAGCTGTTAGAAATATATCTGTCATTATTGTGTTTTTAGCTTTCTTCCTATATGGAAAGTTTTTCAAAATTGTCTACTGGGCCAGAAAGTAATGGTTTATGTTCAAATAAGCATCAGGTTAAATTTGTCACAACCATGTTTTCTTGTTTATTGTGAAGTTGGTCTTAAATTTTTATTTCAAGAGACAAAAAAAGTCTTAAAAAGTCTTAAAATTAACTTGCCTTATGTTGTAGGAACCCTATAGTAGTTTGTTTTGTAATACTCCTTGCTAAAAAATCTTAATTTCCTTTTTTAAAATTCCTTGGTGCTGTTTGTTAAGCATGGTGACAGTAGTGCAAATACAGTTCTTGGTAAAGAGCTTTTACAATGCTTCCTAGAGCAACTCTATAACAGCTTCTTTCTTTCTAATTTAAAACTATTTGATGATGAAATGTTACGATACAGGAAAAAGCTTACATATTTTCATTTGCATGAGCTTTTCAAAAATTTTTTAATTTTTAGGGCTGAAAGAATAAATCAGATTAATCAAGATTGATCAGCTTTTGAAATAATCAGCTAATTTAGTAATCGATTAATCCTTAAGTGAAGTATAGAGACTGTATAACATGCCTTTAGCTGACAAAGCAACCCACTCGGGGCAGTAATTGTATCAAAATTGAAAGAAACTATATAAACATTTTGCATTTAAAGGTATAATGGAGGATTTTTGCTAAGTTTTGAAAATAAATGCTGTTTGCGTCACCCAAGCTTACTTTCCATAAAAAGATTTGCAATTTTTTTCACTATGTCAGACTCAACACATTCATTCTCTTTTAAAGGAAAAATGCGTTTCTCATGTTCTTATTGTATATATGTAAGCTTATTTAATATAGCTAGATAGTAGAAGGAAGAGTTTTGAATGCATTGGATTTAAAAAGTTATTTCTTTCATAATTTGCTGTCAATTAAATGTTTATTCAATATTATGATTTGGTTCACTGTTTTTCTGAATTCAGTGAGTTTTTTCTAATATTTTGCTTTTAAATGTAGTTATTTTCAGGAAACTACGCTTTAATTCTTATCAGATTTTTATGTATAAAATATATTGTATGACTCATCTTGTGCGTTTTTCTCATGGGTAACATCTTAATAATCTATTTTCTCTGCAGTCAGAGGCCCACGACGAGTGGCCAATCAAATTCCAGATGAAATCCTCCAAGATCCCGAGCTACAGGAAGCCATCAAAGTCCTGCCAACAAACTACAACTTTGAGATTCACAAGACCGTTTGGAGAGTGAGGCAAGCAAAAGCAAAGAGAGGTGATTGTTTTATTTTTTCTTCTGTCATATTTTGTCTTTATCCATAGATGTACTTGTTTATATCGATACATCTATGCTGTCTAATTTAACAGTTCATAGTTTCATAATATACATAAGTAAAACAAAATAAGCAAAATGCTTAGCTGGCTGCACACAGTGTAGAACAACACTTCAAAGATCATCCACATGCAAAAAATTAAAAACAGTTTTAACTTTTGTTTTTTGTCAGTCAATTTTTTGATCTGACTCTCACATTGTTTTGGGCTCTTATTGCATGATCAGCACATTCTTGTCCGAAGACCTCTGGGCTTCTTAGTGGATCAGAGAGAATTTTCAATGTAAATTAGAATAGAAATGAATGGTTGGCAAAGTTTAGGGCTGACTGGAGCTGGCTGTGTTTATCTGGGATTATACAACCACAAAAAAAAGACTTGATATACTTGGAACTTTACTCAGAATTGAGGTGGGTGGCTTGAGCCTCATCGATATTCCTTATCTCTTTTAATTAGAAAAAATAATACAATTCAGTTCAGAAGTACTTCTATATTTAGTATTAGTAATGATATAAAGCTGAGTTATTAAGCTGGTAGATTTTGCTTTTTTGGGTAAATTATTGATGTTTTCCTTTTTCAGTACCTTAGTATGTAAAACAGACTGGCTGACATCTAGTCTTTTGATGATACTTAAAAGCTTGGTGTCGTTTTATTCTTTGTGATGTCTTTAAATAGTTCATGCAAGTAAAAAAATACCAGTAGCTTCCAAATCTTTCTTTTTGTAGGTGGTTTTCTTTTAGTGAAAAACATACTTTACTTATTAATGTGGCATTTAAAGGGTTCTTTTAAAGGTAATCGTTTCCCTTCTTTCAGAACTTTAATCTATTTAAATCTTATTTTTCATGTTAAAATGTCTGTGTTGGTGTTAGGCTTTTGTTAAAACCTGCACAAAAACCTGAACTGTGAAACTGACTTTTTTTTATTTTATTAGCTTTTTTTGTGGGCTCTTTGTTCAAACCAGAAAAGCAGATTTTGCTTAATTTTTTACATCGTTTGTAAAATTGTGCTGACATTAGCCCTTTTTGTGGTGATTCTAACAGGCAGGGACTCACCTGCAGGCGGTTGGTGAATGTTGATACTTGTGTAACTTTTTACTTATTGCGAAAATGTAGGGAAATAGTAAATGAACCATGAAAAACTTCTAATGTTGCAAACTCTATATCCATTTGAATGTGCATACTCAGAAGTCAAATTCTCATGTGAGGGAGAAAAAAAGGGATATGAAAAGGTGATCAAAATTTGGATACAAGATGTCGCTGAATGAATTAATCAGAAGTTAATTAACTTCCTTCTATGCGTCACACACTCTCGGAAGATTGGCATATTTTCACGTGATCTGCCCCGATCAGCGACTGGCCGGTCATTATGAAGGACACAGATTTTTAGCGCAGGTCATTGAGTTGTTAATATATTAATATATATATTTTTAACATTAATATATATTTTTTCTGAGCGAACACGCATCTTTCTCTGGCGCTTTGTCCATGTTTGTTTTAGTCAGAGTGCCCAAAACAGGACAGATCATCCAGACAAAAAACAAATGGAAGGTGAGATGGTGTTCCTGAGCTCAGGCAGAATCAGCAGGTATCCAGTGTGAGAACAGTGGATGAGAGAACACCATCACCTGCGGCCAGCCCTGCCTTCCTCTGAGGCTAAGGAACCAATGCACTGATTTCCTTGCTATGTTGTTAATATACATCTTTGAGACAAAACTCTTCATTCCTTAAAGGATTTACCAGTAATTTATTAAATATGAAAATATTTAATAACCATCACTGTTCCCAAAAACCTCAATAAGTTGTTACATTCATGCTGATTTTGCAAATTTTTTGTCTAAGTCAGTTAAATAACCTGCTTCTGTCATTTTGCACATCTCTGATGTTGCTGCTATTTTCAAATATCCATTACTGTAAAACTGTCCATAACTGTATATTGGTTATTTATTCTCCAGGTGCCGAGTTTTATATTGTTAAAACACTTTACAGTAGAGTATTTTGTTTGTTTATTTTTTAACTCTTCACCATTATGTTATTCTTATACACTTTTCTAAGGTCCTCATTTATGTGACCATTTTTTCAATCATCTTTTTGCTGCTGTTAACACCAGAATTTCCCCAAAGTGGGACAATACAGGGATTTTCTATTCTATATATTATAAATTGCAAATACATTTTACTGCTTAGAGTTTGGAGACTTGTTTATGATGATTTAAGTTTTGGATTTTTTGGATTTTATTTTTCCACGAATCGCATTTTTCCACCAATTTCATTTGTCATCTTTCTATGATGCAAGTTTTCCATTGCTTTTATTCATTTACTTGCTGTAAACCACTTTAAAGTTTCTCACTGATAGGACCTTACCTTATAAATCTATTTTTTTTTGGGGTCTAACCTGACGATAAAATTAGATAAGGAATTGGGACAAGATAGTTAATCCAACAAACCAAGTAAGAATTGTAGTTTCTTGGAGCGGTATTTTAAGAAAAGTATCTTGCCAACTAAAACTGCATTAGTTGCCCCTTCTTTGAAGATAGTTTAAGCTCCACGTTGCTGTAATTTCACAAAAAGGTTTTTCTTGTGCTGTCCTCCCTCTTCTGGGCCTCTTAAGTGAGTCAAAATGCTTTTCACATGCACTCCATGTCCAGTGTGCTTTGCTGTCAGTTAACACTGAATTTGTAAATGGAACATGTTGGCCTTTTTTTGATCTTCAGAGTGATGGCACTCCCACAGGAAACTCGCTTGTGTGTTATTGACAGCTTTGGAGAACTGCACTAACATTAAAGCTGCTTGGTCCCCAATTCGTTCTTTCTTTTTTTCTTCACACTGACCATAAAGCAAGTTTTCTAAGTAAGGTTGTGTGAATAGACGAATCTATCGACCATCGAGATAGACCTAGCCCTTTAAAAATAGTTTTTTCTAAGAGCGTTTTTTTTTTTCTTTTCTTTTTTTGGGGGGTTTAAGACAAAAAAAAAGATAAAACAACGTGTTTTTTTTTTTTTTCTTTTAGACAACAAATACAAATTAAATAACAAAAAGATTAAAGTAAAGTGAAGCTGTGGGTTTTCCATAAAAAAAAATTAAAATCTTTGCCCCAGTTTTCAGTCTGTTCGATTTTGCCTATTCAGATAAACAAATGAATATCGATTAAAAAACTATGATGTCGCAAAGCATAGTTAGAACAACTGAAAAAATATTCCCACTGGATGAAAGTTCTGGTACTATTGTTGGTAGAGAAGCGTGAACATTTGACTAAATCTTTGTACCAAAAAAAAACTATATGGGAATATGAAGGTTTTATACTCCTTACAAAAAGCCTTCACTTCTGTAATGGAACACATTTAGGGAAGCTCATATAAACGTATTGATGTGTCGTGTTAAAAAAATATTTCTGCAGCTTTCTGTAACCCAGCTGAAAAAGGAGGGTTATACATTTTTTGGCACCATACAAATAATTGTTGAGGTTTTACTCAAGACATTTCTCAATAAAGGCCAATACCACAAATTTAATAACTTTTCATAGCAAAGTTTTCTACTTCCTGGTTTTGTGTGGTGAGGTCAGCTTGTAGTTTGTACTAAACACGAGGTTTATATAATCCTCAGTGCTTCCGAATTATATGTACAGTCTCAAATATATGCAAACACTCAGCACAACACAACCAACCAACATTTGGTTCATTAATCTTTTGGTTTTTGGAGACAAAGCTGACTTCCTCTGTTGCCCTTGCTTACACAGATCTGTCTGGAGCTTTGATCATTTCTCTTACTTATTGGAACATTTGATTGGTGATGGATCCTGCCTACAAGCAAACTCGCTGGTTCTTAACATCTTTTCTAACGGCTCACTCCAAATTCCAAAAATGATGCTGACTTTTATTAGGTAGAAAAAAAAATATTCTTACCATTGACAGATTCGTTTTAACAGACCAACTGTTTGGGAAGCATTACAAACATGGCTACTCCATCTCTGCTTTCAAAGGTCATGGTCTTTGTCTGCTGTGTTCACCTGTGAAGTGAAAAGTGACTCAGCATGAGTATGTTAGTGACACAGTATGAATCGAGATGGGCGGGCGGTGTTGGGCATTTCATCTACCATCATCTTGGATATTGGTAAGGGAAATGCAGAACCTAGATATGCACACCTAAACAAGCACAACTGTACCTGTCAAAAGATGTTTTTGTAGCATTGACTTGAAGTAGACAGACAGATTGCAAATAAGCAAATAAATAAATAATATTGTGTTTTCAAAAACAGAATTTCCGCTGCTGCTACTCTCAAAGCCAGCATCATTTTGACAGCTGACAGAGAAACAGCAGAAAAAGAGAAACAGAACCATAATACTGTATATTACTCAATAAATCTCAATCGAGCCGAGGTCAGCACCTTTTAGGTAGATCATTTTGTAGCCTTCTAAAGCTGATTCTACTATGTTTTGGTACCAGTTAGACCCATTATTGTCTAGGGGTCAACTATTTGACCTAAACTGTTACCCTTTGATAAAACTAAACTGTGTTCAACATTCAGGAACAACCAAGGTGCAAGCTGATCATAAACTAGAGGATGATTGAAACAGCAGTGTCTCAAACACAGTTATTCAAGCCTCAGGACAATCTTGCCTTGGAATGGGTACAGCCTAGTTTTTGGTCAAAGTTTTCTAATTGGCCTTGATCTCAATCCAAATTGCACATTATGAAGCCAGATAGATCTGTGTTTAAAAAAACAAAAAGAATTTTGAATTTGCCTTAAATTTCTAGTAAATAAATGTTGAATATCAATCCAGAATTATACCAGAACCATAACTATTTTTGATACATGTAGAAGTTTGATCCAAGTAGATTAGCCAAAATCTTAAAAGGGTTAGAAGGGTTTCAATTTGTGATGAGTGTATGTAAAGGTCAAACCTACTTCTGCAGCTTTTTTCCCATTTTATAAGTATGGATCTATGACTAAA